AAGAGCGTGGCGGAACAGGCGGCCGGCGCCAATGGGAGCGCGGGAGCGGCCGGGATCGCCCGCCCAGGAGCGCTTCGGAGCGAATCGTGCGCGGCAGGGGAAAGGCGGGCGGGGCCGGGGGCGCAATCGGTCACGCCCACTTCCTCTCCGTCAGCCAATGGGAGATGATTCTGGTGCGGAGGCCCCGCCCCCACTCGCCTTTCTGCCAATGAACGGCGAGGGCGGGCAGAGAGAAGGAGGCCTCCGGGCGCGGAGTCGCCGCCGAGCGCGGTGCCTGAGGGGGCCGCACTTCCAGTGTCGAGGCGGCGGGAAACTGCGGGGAACAGCCCGAGGATTTGGGATCGCCGGGCTCCCGGCTGCAAATCAACTCACCCAAGTGCTTTCTGCCTGTCCCTCGCTGAAGTCGCGCTCTCTCTCCTCTCCGGTGGTCCGCAGCACAGGAGCAGCCTCAGGTCCTGAGGTCGCATCAGCAGGAATGAAAGGCTTCCCGGCATCACCCTTCCTTGCTCCCGCTGCCAGAGGCGGTAGCAGTCCCTCTGTCGTTGGGATTTGCCATCCCCACCAGCTGCCTCCAGAGTGACTTGTACGAGCAAGGGGTCGCGGCCACTTCACAAACCTGCTTTGTAGCCTTGATCCTTCTGATTTTGTCCCCACTTCGTGTCTCTAGTGGATTCCTTCCATGTTTTGTTGTTAGACTTTGGGATAAAGGACCTCCCCCAACTCCTGTAGGCTTTACCGCTGAAGAGGATTTCCAGGTCCGGCACACAAGTTTAGTATGCTTGAGCATCCTGGATGTCATTAATAAAGCTATAAATGTGAGATATGAGACTGGCCTGTTCAAAGGACATCTCTCTCCTTTTAGTGTGCTGCCAGAGCACATCCACTTTCCAGGAGTCTGTTACTGGAAAGGACAGATGTTCTTTGCCAGAGTTCTGAGGCTTTTGCATCCTGTAGTTAAGAAAGAAATGCTGCATTTAGTGAATGCACCAACATGCTGGAAAAGGTACTTGTTTGAGAGAAATTTGGGAGGTTTCCCCATGATACACTGCTTCAGTAGTGAATAACTGGGGAAGATGTGCTGCTGGCTCCTGGAAAACTGATCCGTTTAGTCCTGCTGTGACTCCACAGCCACAGAAGTCAGATTTATTTACTCAGATAATAACTGAGAGTTGCCCTCACACCTTCTGCAGTGTGATCTCTCCCTCTCTACTTCCTGTCCTAAGAACTCAACTTACTGCTGATATTTGAAAAAAAACAAAAACAAAAAAGGAAAATCACATTAAAACAGAGCTCTTAATTCTTTGTCACCAGCTTTCACTTTTCCAGTTCTTCACAAACAGTGCTGTCTTTGTGGTCACTCTTGGCCAGCAGGCAGCCTGGGCACCTAAAAAGTGACAGAACTGGCAGGAGAGACACCTTTATTCCAAAGTATGACAGAACATGGACATACTGGAGAGAATTTACCAAAGAAACACAAAGCGGGGGCAAAATCAGATCTGGACACTTAAGCTGTGTCTGAATCCTGTTAGTTACTTTTCAACTATACAGACTGTATTCCCAGCTAAACACTCCCTTGTGAGTATAGCAAAATCTCTCTCTTTAGATTTCTCTATTATTCATTTGAAGCATTTAGGAGAGAGTTTCTGCCTCTTGTCTTGCTCTGCTGTCTTGTGCTTTCCCCTTCCTTTCAAGCACACGCTCCCTATTTCGCTGTCCACAGACCCTACCTAAGACTGGAAGGAATCTTCTGGGTGCAATATGCTACCCTTGTAGGCAAGTGGAGAAGTTTGCAGAAATATCCAATCCCTTCCCCAACATGTGCATTGTAACAAATTGGCCACTCTGTGTCACATAAGCGTCCTCCCATGCAGTAATTTCTCAAATTTAGAAAATGTCACCAGAAGGGGGAACAGTCATCCCTGTTGGAGGTGGCAATCATTCAATTCCTTTGTTGAGCATGCTCAGAAAATCATTGGAAATTAGTGTACTGTGCTGAAAAAGTGCAGCTAGACCAATATCCCCATTCTGAGCATGAAACAGAAGGGATCAGAATGTAGATTAAAACAAAAACCAGCCAACCATGCAGCTAAGAGATTTCCCAGGGTGCTGGAAGCATCAGTACTCCTCACCATAGAGTCACAGAATTTTTTAGGTTGGAAAAGACCCTGAAGATCATTGAGTTAAACCATTAACCTGACACTGGCAAGCCCAACACTAAACCATGTCCCTAAGCTCCACATCTGCATCTTTTTGAAAAACTTTCAGGGATGGTGACTCAACCACTTCCCTGTGCAGCCTGTCCCAGGGCTTGATAACCATTTTGGTGAAGAAATTTTTGCCAATATCCAATCTAAACCTCCCCTGCCACAACTTGAACTCTTCTCATCAGTGGTCAATACTTCAAAAGAAAAGTAGCCTTTCCTGTTGTTGCTGACCATAGAATCACTAAATGGTTGAGTTGGGAAGGAACCTTTCAAGGTCATCTGGTCCAACCCCCTGCTCAGCTCATGCCACCTACAACCTGGTCCACCTACAGCCCAGGACTGTGTCCAGGCCACTCTCCACTGAGGGACACATGACCTCTCTGGCCAACCTCTGTCGGTTTTCAGTCACCCTCACAGTAAAAAAGTGTTTCCTGATGTTCAGAGGCAACAACTTCTGGCTTTCAGTTTGTACCCATGGCCTCTTGTCCCATCAGTGGGTACTACTGAAGAGTTTGACTCTTCTTGTACCCTCCCTTCAGGTATTTATATACATTAATTGGATTCTAACCAAGAAGTCTTTTCTCCAGGCCAAACAGTCCCAGACCTCTCAGTCTTTCCTCCCAGGACAGACGGTCTGGTCCCCTTATCCTCTTTGTGCCCCTTTGGTAGATTCTCCCCAGTACGCCCCTGTCTCCCTTGTACTGATGCTGTTGAGATGTTGACTTGGAGAGACTTGACGAATGCCAGCTGTCAGTGCCTGCCTTGTGTCTCAACACTGTCACACCGGTATTGGGTGTAGACAGAGTTCTCAGTCCAAAGTGGAATTTTCCAAAGCTCACAAGGCTTGCTTTTTGAACCTGTGCTGTCCACCTCTACTTCCTGTTTGACAGCAGTTGGGCTGCCCGTTTGCCGTAGCTATTGCTTATCCATTTTTCACCTTGTAATCTCACTATTCTTTTTTTTTTACCTTGTGCTGTCACTATCCTGCTGCTTCTGCCCTGAAGGGAGCTCCTCAGAGCAGCATGAATCCTCCCAGTTGCTGCATCAGTGTAACCACACTCTCTTCCATTGGCAACAATTAGAATACCCCAAACTTTGTGGTTAATTGCCTTCTCCATTAGAAGCTGTTCCTGAGACATCCTCCATCAGGTTCGAAAATGAAAGCTGCTGCAGTTCCACTACTCTCCATTCCACTTTAATTTTGGTTATCTTTAGCAGCTGGAGATAGAGGTAGCAGCTTCATGTTTCTTTTCTTCTGAATATAGCCTCGGGTTTCCTGTTTCTTAGGCGTTGAGCCCTGTTGTTCAACAGCCTGATCGAAACATCCTTTTGTGCACACTCCTTTTGCTTTGGCATGGAGGCAAGCAGATCAGAAATTTCTGCAGCTGATGAAAGCGAGGAAGTAATGTATACTTCTGTCAAATTCTCTCAGACTCCTCCGCCGAGGGCCAAAGCTCCACAGGAAAAAAGAGGTAAAGAAAGATAGATGAGGTAGGTGAACCAAAAATTTTACTCTTGAGTGAAAGCAAGATTGGACAGAAACACTCTCAACTGGCCACTGATTCTGAGTGCCAGCTTAGAGAGCTGTTGCTTTGGTTCTAAAATTACCGTGGATATTTTAATGTGATAAAAGCTGACAGGTTAGAGACCCAACATTTTTCCCCTCCTTCTCACCCACCTCCTTCAGTGTCTACTCTTGGGCATTCAACCCAGGCATCCTTTTCTTCAAAACTGGTTTAAAGTTGTTTGCTTGTCAGCAGCAGGAGGTTGTGAGCAATAGTTCTTTGAAGGGCAGGCAAGATGCAAATACAGATAAATTAGAGGCGCATGCTAATCAGAGATCAGAGACAGAAAGCATATGAGATCACCCAGCCTCTCTCCCATGGGGGCTATGCAGTATTCTTTTGTGATTTTTTCCTGTTTTCTATGTTCTAGTGTTACATACCTCCCAGTGAGCAAATTTCAGCTTTTGCCGTGAAACAGTTCTTCAGAGCACTTTGTTATCAGGAAGATTTTCTTAGTGCTTTCCTTAAATTTTTTCTTTCTTTATTTCTTTTCCATAACCTCTGATTAGACCTGCAAATGTCAGAATGAACAATTCCTCTGGCAGCTTAGTTGAGAAATACCACCTTCAAAGAGTCAAACTTGGCACTGGTGATCATTCTTTGTAAATATTTCCTTCATGCAAAATGGTGGGGGGGGTTTGAACTAGATGAGCTTAGGGTCCTTTCCAACCCAAATCATTCTATGATTCTATGAAATATCAGCGTGCTTTAGATGAGTTCTGTTGCATTGGCTGCAACACTAATGGTTGACCTTAAATTTTCAGAGGTATTACAGTAAAGGGGACTCTCACTGTGGAATGCAAGATTTTTATACTCTCATCAGAATAATTTTGTATACCTGTGGTGTTTACTGCTGCCTGGTCACTTTGCTTCACTGTGGAAACAAAGCCAGCATAGAAACTCCCCAGTTCCTCACACTCCAACTCTTTGAAAGGCAGTCTTGCTTTTGCATACATTTTCACCAGAAATTACGTTTCTTTGTCACATCAGAAGACACTGTAACATCCTTTCATTCCCTGCCATTCCTGTTCACCCCCACCCTGTTGAAAGGGGAGTAACCAATGCCATCTTGAGATGTTTGCATTTTTCTTTTTAACATCTCTCCACATTCTTTTATGGAACTTCCTCTTTCTGAGCTATGGTCAGACAGCCAAAAATAAGGAAGCTGATAATTGGACACACTTTTTGTGCATATTATTTGATTATTTCTCAGCTCTCTTCAGCGTGAAAGAGATCCCTAAGGAGCTCACTTTAAGTACTTCTCTTTTGAAGGTCTTCATGTTCAATTCTGTCCCTGTCTCCATCACTTCTAAGAGGTGTGCTCTCAGGTATTTTTCCTCTATTCAAATGCCTACCCTTGCCGACTGTAGGCACAGTATCATGGGTGTGTAGATCTGTATTCTGGTCAAGCCAACAGGTTTTGGTGCTTATGGACTCCTCAAAAACAAAGAGCTGCCCTGGTTTGTTTCTTATGTTTGGCTTCTAGGAAGCCTTAGATATGCTGCACTACCAGAATGTCAGTACAGCAGTCATGTACTGACAGTGTTAGCCTGTGTAGTAACAGCAATAACCAGGTCTGTGCCACAGCCAAGAACAGAATCCTTGTATCTCAAATTCTCCTCCTTGGCTCTAGGTAGTCATGCTGCTCCCATACTGAGGTAGGCAGGAGCTGAAGTGAGCTATGACATTATGTATATGACATGGCTGTGACAGTGCCATGACATTTTTCAGATTGTCCTAGGTGAGTTGAATTGTAAAATGCTAACAGCTTTCAGTTTTTGAACTGAATCTGGACTCACAAACCTAAAAATATTGGGTCATGTTGCTTGCAAATGAATGGAGAGTATCAGAGTAGTTTCTCCAGAGCACTGAGAGACCTATTGGGGTGTTTTGTACACAGAAAGCGATAACACTGGATTTACATTAAATGTCTATCAGTCGACTTCCCTGCTTGGATACACTATTCCACAGTTCATCAGACAACTACATGGAAATATTTCTGGATGTTCCATTCAGGTTTTCCTCCTGTTTCAAACTCATCTTAGGTACTTCCCCCTTCCACTCCTACAGGAGCTTCACATGTAGTTCGGGGCTGAGGATCAAACAGAAACCCTTAAACCTGTTTTAAAAAGTGTGAACTCCAGGGACTCCTTTTTGCAGCAGGTAAAAATCCTGATTTATGAAATACTTCATTCCACTTCTCTGGATTGATCCCTGCAGTTCAAGTGCAGCTTAAATTCACCTCAAACACTTCCTGTTTTCCCACTTTGCTTTCCCCCCCCGCCCCCCCCCTTCCAAAATTATATAATGCCGTATTTTTTTCATTTTTATAAACTTTGGTGACTCTCCCACTGCTGGTGTTGTGGAGGTGCCATGGGATTTTGTTTTGATGATGAATAATTCCCTTTTTTCTGCAGTTGGTTTGAAACAATAGAGAGTGAACTGCTCTATTCATTTCCAGGAGGCACCAGCTCCGTGCCCGGTGCTGACATTTAAGGATTAACTGTTTCACAGACTGCCATCCTGATTGCCTTGTCCTGGCAGTTTTCCCTAAAATGTAACAGAAGGATGCAGGAGATCGCTTGTTTGGAGAGGCAAGAGAGGAAGGAAAACAAAAGTACAAATGTGATCTCAGAACCAGGAGTTATGTTTGTTTCATCAGATGTTTATTCCCTTTTGCCAAGTTTTCAGTTGTAATCTGCAGAGAAAAACCTCCACCCTACGCCTTAACCTCGGGCTGACTTCATTCTCTTGAGGCCTAATCTGATGACAAAACCCAAGCTGACAAGAATACAAACAAGAGGAGTAGAGAGCAGAGTCAAGTTTAAGTTCCAGAACCAGTCCCTCAGTTGCTGTCCCTTTATGAGAAGCTGAGGAGTAGGTTGTAACTGAAAAGTCCTTCTGCATTTTGTCTCTGAAAATAGATGGGGTTTTGTAATAATGATTTTAAAAAATAAGAAATGTTACTATTTTAAAACTATGCTTGGGACACCTTGGAAAGCCGACAAGCTTCAGGAAATGTGAGAAAACCTCTATCTTAGAAAAGATCTTTCTATCAGAAGAATGATGCTTACAACAATGCTCCCTCATTATCTCCCTTGTTACCTTAGAAACTTCTAGGTAAAACCACAGACCTAAGTGTATTGCTACAGATGAGAAACTGGTCTTAACATAAGTGAGCCTGCAAACGGCTCAAGATCAAAATAAATTAATTTTTATGAATTTACTGATCTGGTCTACTTTCTGTATTTGGACAAAGCTCTCAATGTTTAAAGGACGCACTCTTGTTTTTAAGTGGAGTCCCTTCACCTTCTGTTTTAGCACTGGCTTTCTTTGTCTTTCTCACAATATTCTTTGTGTGTGATCTGCATTTGTTTTCAGCCTCCACCAAGAGATCAAATGTGTTTCTTTGGGTCTTGTGACATGAGCAAGAGAGAAGAGCCTCAAATTTCATGAGATCCATGGGGATTTTGTTACTAGATTTGGGTAGAAGGTTCTGGAACAACACAAGAGCAGGATGTGGTACATAAATTAGCTGCACATTTACTACTTCATAGAACGTGCTGTTGTCTGTGCAGCTATCATACTGAGATTAATGAAACAAGCAAACCAAACTCCCCTGGAGCTCATCCGTGCCAGTAAGTGCCATCCTCTCTTCTGTCTGGGAGAGAGGAGATTTTAGTGCCGAGATTTCAAATGTTTTATGCAAAGCAAATGCCTCTCAAGTCAAACACAGCTCCAGGAGATGACAACGGAAAAGCAACATGTAGCCTGTAGGTTAGCATGTCATGCTGTGCATAAGCACACCTCTACAGGCCAGTCCTGGCCAGCCTTTTGAAAGTAAGCTGTGCTGGGCTACAGCAGAAGTTGCCCCAAGGACTCACCCTCTGCCACTGGCAGACAGTGAACAGCAAACAGTGGTGGTGAAAGTGTAAAGGGGGAGATGTCCCAAGGTCTTCAAGGCTGGTTTTCCCATCCTGCCACCCCACCATGGAAGATGAAAATGTTGAACTGCCTTGGGAAGACGTAGCATGACCATGTGTCTGAGCCTGTGAACAGGATGCTGAGATTAAACCTGTTGTTGTTGCTGGGAGAGCTGGGGAAAAAGCTCTGGATTTCTTTTTACGTGTAAGCTGGAACATGGTGGCTGTAACAATGCAGCTCTGTGGTTTCCATCCCAAGCTTCAATGCTGAGGTAGGAGTGGATTTGTTGGGAGGCTCCTGCCAGCACGAGGTGTCACATGGTGCCTAGGTGGCTCCAGCTCACTTGTGGTAGGTACTTCTGCTGGGGTCAGCCACCACAGAGGCTGGACCAGCAGGCTCTGTGGCCAGGCAGGGGTAGAGCTGTGGCTGATGTGGAGAAAGGTACCCCTTGGGAAGTTCAGGCAGGAACTGGTGGCCCCAAACCCAGCTGAAATGGGGCCCTGGGCTGATGGGCAGGGGCATGGGGAGGCCCCAGTTTGGCTGGGCAGGGACAGGGATGTCCATCATGTGCAGAGTGTATACAGACACGATGCTCTAAATAGTGCAGTTCTTTGTGGCAATGCCCAGGACACAAACAAACTATGCAAAACCACTGATAGCTTTCATATGGCCACTGTTCACTATGGTTTCTTTTCTTTTTTACAGCTCCCTGTCTGTGGTCAGCAGTTCTGAAGGGCTTGGCCATAGGCTTCGGGACACTGAGCATCTTCCTAGCAATTGCTTTGATTTGGAAGATGAGTAAGTGCACAAAGGGCTGCTGAGCATGAGCATGAGTAACCAACAGCGACACATCTAACCACAGGAACTCCATTATATGGGGTTAAAACCAGAAGCTGTTCTAGATTTCTACCAACCTTATATACCCACTGCCTGTGCAGAATATTTTAAAGAATATATTCCTCATGCAGACTCCGGGAAACCCATTTCAGATCCTGCAGCAAAGAACAGTTAAACATATTGAAAAGTCTTTGTAGACTTGCCTGGTAAATGTAGTGGTAAACTGAACAAATAGGTCTGTAATATATTTGTACACATGCAGATAAGTGCTAGACCATGTGGAGGAGCTTATTGTTTGTTACTTAAAATCCATCCACCTAGGGTGGGACGTGATCACACCATACCCACAGAGAGTGATCTTTTTTCAGATAGCCACTGGGTATCTGCGTGGTTCAGTGGGAACCTGGGGGTGGGGTGAGTGTGTGCATGCTTGCCACCAGCATCAGAGTGCACATGACTATTGTAAGATTTTGAAATTACACTGTCATTTTCAGAATATTGTCCCGATTTGAGTTTTCTGCTTTTCAGCTATCCAAATGAGTTGTTTCTCAGTAGGTCTTTGCTGACAAGTGTTTCTGTTGGTTAATGGTAGAGTACCAGTATTTTGACTTCTTTACATCTTTTTCAGGTGACTGCCACCCACAGTGCCCTCAACAATGGGTGGCCTACAGAGGGAGCTGCTACTCCTTCTCCACAGAGAAGAAGGACTGGAATTCCAGCCAGGAATCCTGCAGGGCACAGGGAGCTCACCTCCTGGTGATCAGTGATACCTGGGAGATGGTAATGGTTTTCTTTGGCTTTGAGGATCTCCCATTTCCTTTCCGATACCTAAGTGACTGACATACAAGCAGTGCTGTCACTTCAGCAATATTTTGGTTTTAAAGGAGGAAGGATTTACAGCTGTGATGTTACACATCACAAAGTTTGCAGGAAGCAGAGGAACAAAGGGGAGAAAAGAGAGATGAGGGTCACTATGAGGTACTCAGAATCATCCTATGAAGGATGGTAGTAGACAGCCTTCTCCACTGCTCCTCTGCACTTCCTCTCCTATTCCCAATAAGGCTGATATGAATGATTACAGGAAATGACCGTGATACTGAGCAGGCATTGCATTCATTACCTACAAACTGATACATCCCCAGTCTCAAGGGGAGAGACTTTTTTTTTCTTTCTTTTGCAAAAGTGATTCTTCTCCTCACTGTGACCGCTGCAGCTCCTCCTGCGCAGTGACCCGTGCCATTCCCTGTGTTCATGCTTAGACCTATTTCTTTCTCAGTCTCTTTTCAATGCTTACTTCCTTTCTCTGCCAAAGTACCTCAGCTGTGCTGGTGAAATAAGGAACCACATGTCCCACTGCAGGTGCTCTCTGGGGGCAGGGTCATGTGTGGTCACTGGAGAAATGGGTAGTGCTGATTACTGGGGCGCTGAGGCACATCTGCTTAAGTAGAGCAGAAACCTTGATCCCGTTTTGCTCAAGCCAGCACTTATTAGCTCAGGTCCAGTGAACGTGGACAGCTTCCAGTCCCTGGACAGAAGTTGCATTGTGTGAAGTTCTCTGGAGGATTACAGAGCCAGGTCTCTGCTTGATTGGAAGTATGTACCAGGTTCTCACATTTCCTTAGACAAATCCTGACTCCTTGAGAAATAAGCATCTTCCCCAGATTACCTATTTCTCAGCATGAAGAAAGCCTTCCTGTTCTTGCTGCTTTCTTACTACCATCTCTGCTACTACATTATCACCCATTATCCCTGCTCAGACTCACCCATCTCAACAAGACTTTCCTAGCTATCTTTGCCTTGTAGTGCAAAGGCTGTGATTGCTCTACCTCCAAGTGCTAGGGAAGCGCAGTCATCTCCAAACCACCAGCAACACTCCAGTGATTCCTCAAGCTGCTCCTATTCCCACAACTTTACCAAGCCAGCTTTGTGAATGTTTCTCTCTGAAGATGTCTTCTCTGAAGCTTTGTTTATGGCAGCAGGAGATAAGGATGGAACCCAGCCATACCCCTGAAAGCTTCCTGTTCTTTGGTTGCAAAGATGGACAAGACAAATTCACCTCTCCTGGATTTGTCTTTTTTGTGGGGAGCAGGGTTGGGGAATTTACTTCAAGGCTGAATTTCTGTTGCAGGCTTCAGCTTTTAACATTAACCAGGGGTTAGAAGTTAGCTAAAAGGAAATGAACACTGGAAACACATAGGAGGAAAATGTGCATGAAATTTAAAGAGCTTCTGTACTGGGTTTATTACACATGTCTGTCAGTGCTGCACTTCTTGCCCTACCCAGCCCTGATTTCACCTTCAGTTGTTAATACTTCATATTAGCTTGCTACTTAGCTGTATAATAGGGTGTTAATACTAATATTAATAGCATACCTTCCTACACAAAGCTCTGTGCAGGAAACTCCAGGAGACTGGGGTGCAGTTCATAGAATCATAGAATTATAGAGTCACAGAATATGCATAGTAGGAAGGCACCCATCAGGATCAACAAGTCCAGCTTCTGGCCCTGTCATTAGCAAGTGTGGGGAAGCAGTATTGTCAGTCACTTAAGGAACAGTGAGGTGAGGGGATGTATCTTGCTCTCTGTTCTCTTTACTTATCCTTATCTCCATTTTCAGGCTGGCTTTCATTAGTCACTTTGTAATTCATCATAATTTGTAGGATTTGTTCAAGCGTATTCAAGCAGAATGTTTTTGGATTGGACTGAGGAACAGTACAAGCTCTGGATGGATTTGGGAGGATGGCTCTGTATTAAGTGATGCCAAGTGAGTTTCATTCTGTTTTAAAAACAATAGTGCTTATTCAGATTGCCTGGTGTTCCAGAACACCCAGAGTTCCACCTCCAGATGTCAGGAGCTTTCTTCCTGGGCAGATTTTCTTCTTCCTGTCACCTGTACTGCACTGAGCTCAACAGGGTTTACTTTTCACTGCCCTGCATCTTGTAAGGGCATGTACCTGTGAAAAGCAGGTCAAGTGTTAGTATCTCACTCTCTACTTCCCTCCAGCTGCTCAGACCAAGGATTTTATTTACCTGCACCAGCAACAGATGCTTGATCAGAAAGGCGTATGGCTTTACTGGGTTTAGCCACCTTGCACCCATTCTGTTGAATGCTGGTGTCACTGTGTGCAAAGACCCAGCCCTTTCCTGCTCTACTGGTGCCAACCTAAGTCAGAACCTTTTTTTTATCTCAGTCTTTACTTGGACAAAAGCCAGTGTTTTCTATGAGGGAAAACATGTTTTTATCCAGTGACTTTGCCTGGCCCTTTCCTTTTTATGGCAGTTAAGGCAATGAGTTAGTTTCTAAAGCCTCTCCAGCAAGGAAAACTTGCCCAAGATCTCACTGTCAAGAGGTCAATACTCTGAGCACTTGGCTTAGTTCCCTGAATAAATCCAGCTTTCTGTTCCTACAAGCTCCTTGAAGGCAGTGATCATTCTGTGAAATTTTCCCCACTGCCACTCACATGCTGGTGGATATCACTGCCACTTCTGGAAATTGTGTCTATGTTTGGTTCTGATCTGGGTTCTATGATGGCAAAATTACTTAGCTGTGGCAAGTAGATAGGTTCTTTGGTGTATGTTTTATTTTCTAACAGCTGCCTTTTGGAGGTCAGGTTGTTTCTCTTCCTCTGGGCTACACCCTTCAAAATCAGATATTTTAAATTTCTTGTCTCCAGGAGACAATCTCAGTATTTTCTTTCATTCTCACTACTGTTCCGTGTCTCTTGCAGGGTCCACTCTAACAGCCCTGTGCAAAATTGTGCTGTCCTGATGAAAGATCAGTTTCATGCCTCCAGCTGTGAAGTTTGGGCTCCATGGATCTGTGAAAAAACGCTTAGATAAATCCCATGTGCTTTTTCATGTCACAGCAACCTCATCAGTGGTATGAGTTGATTGTTGTCCTGCAAATTGAAGCTTCACACAAGAGCAAGGACTTGTCTTTTCCATACCTTCACTAAAGTGTTTTACAAGGGCAGGTTTGTTGTCCATAAGGGTGAATTACTCTCAGCAATAGAAAATCTATTCTCGGACCACAAGTGCTGGATTACTGCTGTTTGTGACCAGATGAGACCTGGGACATATTCACTGGCCTACTCTTTCCCTTATTTATTCTATAAGGGCAAATAAAAACTTTGTCACAACAGGTGTCTTCAGACCTCTGAGGGGGACATAGTCATTTTCCTTCACTTTTAAGTATTAGATTTCATTTCCATTCCCTGCATCTCCATTGTCTAATATCAGAAGGACCAGGAAAATGAGGCCTGCTGTTCATTGACAGAAATATATAAATATATTTCTCCCAGGCAGCTTCTCCTTTTGCATCCCAGTGGTATGAGTGGGAGAGAAGACGGTGAAAAGAAACTGCAGCTTCTGTAAATCCAGCAGTGAAAATAAATCTCCAGAACTGACCGTACCAGACCAAAAGTGTGTACCTGTGCCATTTCTTCTCTCTGTTGGAAGGAATTAGGCAGGTTTAACCAAGCTAGTCAAGAGACTGGACTTCTGGAGTCAAAGGAATACAGATAATGCTGTGTAATTATTTAATCCACCAAGAACCTGTTTTCCTCCCCACCTCTGCCTTTTCATACTGCAGATAGAGGAAGCAGTAGACAAACCTTAATGTGATGATCTTTCAGTTCAAATAGAGCAGAGACAGATTCAGAGTTTGAATGCCACAAAAACACTGTGAATATTTGGGAGCACTGTCTTCAGTTCTGGGCTGCTCAGTACAAGAGAGACATGGACATACTGACTGGAGAGTCCAACACAGGGCCACAAATATGATGAAAGGACAGGAGCATCTCCTCTGTGAGGAGAGGCTGAGAAAGCTGGGATGGTTTGTTATAAAGCAGAGAAGGCTGAGGAGAGATCTTATTGATTTTACAATCATAAAAACACAATAACCAACTTCAGCATTTCAATTCAGACTACATATTCTATTCATTACTTCATATTTTTATTATAATTGCAGGAAATCCTTACCAGCTACCAGTGGTATTATTTCCCCATCTGCTTAACAGGATGCTTAACATGAAGGTGTCGAGGTGGATAAAGACAAAAGTACAGATCTTAGCATGCTTAGCTAAGTGGATGTCTACTGAGCCTCATATAGAGTTCACTGAGATGAGAGTCTCAGGTGAGAATGTTTTACAGCAAGGGTGGGTCTGCTTTTCAATAACCATGACTGCAACAGGCAGACCTGGGAAAAACTGCAGTGTAGTAGGAGGTCAAAACTTCAGTTTTCATCTTGGGTTGTCTGGGTTACTTTGAGTAAGTAATTTTATCTGTGCCAGAGTCCATTCAACTATCAAATGATAGTTGTTCCTCACTCCCAGAAAGTTGCCAGACACTATGAAATAATGCTGAACATTTTGCTTGCTTTGTCAAAACAGTGGTAGCATCTGTAGAGGGAAACCTACCAGTTACCTTACCAGAGAATAGCACCGAAGAAACAGCTTCTCATATTATTGTGATATGTAGGTGAGATGAGCATGTCTCTGAGCTTTCCTAGTTTATCTTTGTTATAAATTTGTATTGTGATATTGGCTTTCACAGATGAATCTTATATGTTAAATACTTTTTAGCTATGTATGTACTTTTTTCTTGCTAACAAGTCTTAAGCTTAAAAGAATTTCCTAGGTACAAGGCAAGGAAGCCCCAGAGGGCAAGGACAGTGGGGCCCAAGCTGTTATCAGGAAAACAATAGAGCCCAAACTGTTATCAGCAGAAGATATGAAGCCCAGCTGCCCTCAAAAGGAAGGATGAGAGGCCCAGATGGTTACCAACAAGTGACCATTTGCAAAAGAAAGGAAACCAAACTTCAAATAATGCTGACCAGCTAGAATAATGATGACCAGCAAAAAATATGCTGACCAGCAGAAAATAAAAAATTGTAGAAAAGCATGATCTAAGAAGGCGGAACCAGGGAGGGGACATGTTTGAATATGCATAAAATCCTCAAAGCAAGAGGGGATAAAAAGAGTGTTCCCAAGATACCAGGTGTGTTCCTGACAAGCCACCAGGGCACCCGGCCGTTTTAACCCTTTGCTTTATTTCTTTTGTCTCCTAATTGTCTTTTGTTTATATTAAATTATTTTTATAATTTATTAAGTGAATCTCGTTTTTAAGACCTTGCTTGAATGTATTGAAAACATTTCTCTTGATTTTTTGGCTACAGAGCACATTTTTGACCAAGGTCCAAATGATCAGGAGCTGGCTTGGGAGCTCTGGGGGCTCTGCCACATGCAGTTCTGCATCTTGTCCAGTCGGGTTTGTGTTCCATCAATTCAGCTCCTGACCTTCACCACTGTAAATTGTTATCTTCAAAAAGGCTTTGACCAGCCCATATGTACAAATCCTCTTCTCTGTGGGTGAGGCAGATTTCCTGGGTTACATTTCTTTTGGGCAAGAAAAGCAATCTTTAGGTATCAGATGCAGAAGGAAGAGCCCAAATCTGGGCTGTCTTTTGCGCAGTCCCCAAGGAAATTGCACATGCACTACTATCCTCTTTTTTCCTATGCAGGTCTCTGCAGGGTAGGATGAGGTCTATAATGAAGGTTTGTTGCTGCACTGCACTTGGGTTTCTTAGCTCCAGAGTTCCTGAGCTTACCAAAGTTTTGATGATTATATTAGAAGAAGGGTAGGACAGACAGAAAATTATTTTATCCTGCACACTTTTTAATCTGAAAATTATGCTTTACATCCTCCAACAGAGATCTCCATTCTTTGGAGTTTGCATTAGGACTGTAAGTAAGACAGATAGTCAACTGCTGCTTGCAAGGGTAATAATTACCAGATCTATTGATCCTCCTGCTGCAGACCAAGTGGTCTAAAAACCCCCCCGTTTCCCTCTATGGTACAACATTGCCCATCACATTGCATTACATGAATCTGCACTTAATTAAACCAGGATGACTCCATCAAACAGCAATAATGTGATATAGATGTACCAATAACTCGACCTGGAACAAGAACCAGTAGAAAGAAAGTAAGACCCAGGCCATATACGTGAGAGTAGCTGCTGCTCTGGGCAGCTGGTTAATGTGTTACATGCTGTTAATGGGTCGAACTTTTGGCAGCTTCCCGTCATGTCACTGTCCCTGTTTCTGTCAGGGTGAAGGCCAGATCATTTTAGTTGACTTGGTTTTCCAGGCACTTTCTGGCCTCTTTTCCTGGCATTAGCTTTGATGTGACCTGGAACAGAGAGCAGCAGGGAACAGCAGTGGGTGGAGAGGGAAGGTTTTTTCAGTTCATTCCCTGTTTTCACAACCTGTTAATGGGAGCTAGACACACCGATGCTTGTTTCCCAAATCCTAGCTCAATCTCCTGCTCCCAGTTTGAAGGAAATCAAGCAGCTCCTGCTGTTCCAACAACCTCCATGACCAGTGCCATGTCCAGCTCCACAGAGAGAGCCCTGCCAGAAATGAAGGCCTCCCCTCAGGCTCCGCTGTTAGCCCTTCTTTCCTTAGCAACAACCTTTCCTCTTCCATTGCCTCCGTCCTGCCCCAAGAGACACAGCTCCGGCCTGCCGGGAACCCTCCCCTCCCTCTCTCCCCCAACACTGGCCTTCTGCCCAGACTTGGAGCTGCTAGTTCCAGCTCCTCCTTGCTGCCTCTCCCTGTTTCCGGATGGGCCCTGGCCCCCAGCCCTTATCTCCTCCAGCCCCTGGGCTGTTTGCAGAGGAGAGTATAAAGGGGTTGACTGGCAGAGCAGAGGGGGAGTAGAAGCAGCACTGAGTGTCTGCTTGCCTCTCCACGTCCTGCTCTGTACCATGGGGAAGAACGGGCTGCTTATCAAATCAAGCATCTTCCTCCTCCTCTTCTTCCTTCCGGGAGACACCTCACCCATCACAGAGCCGTAAGCTATGCTGGGGGGTCTCTGGGCAGGCACGAGACCTTGGTTGTATTCCTATGTCTATTTCTTTGTCCCCTCTCTTCTAACTTCTTCTATCCAGGAATAAAGACACCAGGGCTGGGTAAAATGCCTTCTACAAACAGGAACTGTAATGCTTGAGAGTGATGCAAAACAAGCTTTGAAACTGAGATTTCAGTAATACTTCAGGGTATTGACAGGATTTCAACAAAATTTTATGCACCAAATTAGTTATTTTGAAAGATAACTTTTCATAAATGTAGTTTTGGGTTGACTGTCCTACTCCCAGGTTGAAATACAGAGGAGTTGTGAGTGGCTTTTTTAGATGATAATGAAAAGAAAAAGAACAAATGGGTCATCTGGCATGCTTGGAAATGGCTTTATTTTTTAATTCACATTTTTCAGCTCAGACAATGGAATGAAAATTCTCTTCTCATCCAGGGGAATGTGACACTGTAAGACTGTGACCATCCAGGTCTGTGAGGGTATATTGTCTTGCCTCCCTCCTTCACCCCCTTTTGCCCCATTTGTATGTGAAGGGCACTTGTGTTGTGTGCATGTGTGTACATGTGTGGTAGGAACAGCACATGGAGGGTCCTGACATCCCAAAGACTTTCTCCGTTGGCTTTTTGGCAGTGTCTGTTCCTCCCCTGCAAACACGGGGCACCTCACCCATCACAGAGCTGCAAGGGGTGCAGGGGAATTTCTGAGCAAGGCTGTGCTGTAGTGCTTTCACCAAAGGCAGAGGAAACAGACAGTGGGATCTGAGGGGCCAGAGCTTGATCCGGGCAGACCGAGGGGTGGACAAAACAGTGCCAGAGCCTCTGCTACTGCTAAAGGGAATGCCTTGCCTTACTGCTTAGGTATTGAGGGCTCTTCTCCCATCTGCTCGCTGCTCTGAGTATGCCCACTGGAGGCCAGTCCTCATCCACCAAAATGGGAGCACGGTTAGCATTAGGTGCATTGGGCTTGATTTCCAGATGCAGTGCCGGGCACCGGAACTGCTGGCAATTGCCACACTGGGAAGGAAAGAGGCTGTGCAGTGATGAGCAGGGATCCCCTGTTGAGCTGAGACAGAGGGGCTTGCTTCCCCGAAAACCTGAAACTGGTTTGTGCTTTTGCTTAAGATCTGGCACCACGTTGTGGCAGTTTTTGAATCTCCGTGAGGAATGAGAGTAATGCTACAGACTCTTCACAGTGTGCAGTCAATGGAATTTATTCATTGGGTACTGACATTTGTGTGGCTCCTGAATGCTACCAACAGTGTCTAGCAAAGGTGATAATTGAGTTCCCCCCCTTTATTCAGGATCCCAGGAGGAAGTGCTGCTGTTGTGCCAAAACCTAGAAAAACACATCCTTTCCAGATGTTTGAGTGGAGGATTTCCTCTGGTATTTTACATTTGAGACCAGCTTCTCTGCTTTCCCCTGCTGCTACAGATGTGCTGGAAATCTTGTTACACTCTTAGAAAA